ATTACCCTAAAAACTATCAGGTCTGTGCAGTGTCATATGACATTTATGTACCAAGTTTTATTGAAATGTTATGATTAGTACTTGAGATATCAGTGGAAAAGCCAAAAATTGATTAAACATTATGTAAATTAGGTAATTAATAATATTAACAGATTTTTACCCAAAACTAATCAAATCTGCGCATTAGTTCAGAGCATCCATGTGCCAAGTTTCATCAAAATCCAATGAGTGGTTCTTCAAATATCAGTGGACCAGTCATGGAACAGCTTGAAATCAGTTAATTATCATTCAAATTAGGTAATTAATATTCATAGATTTTTACCCAAAACTAATCAAATCTGCGCACTAGTTCAGAGCATCCATGTGCCAAGTTTCATCAAAATCCAATGAGTGGTTCTTCAGATATCTGTGGAACAGTCTTGGAACAGCTAAAAATCAGCTAATTATCATGCGAATTAGGTAATTAATATTCATAGATTTTTACCAAAACCTAATCAGCTCTGCGCATTATCCCAGAGCATCTATGTACCAAGTTTCACCAAAATTTGATTAGTGGTTCTTGAGATAACGGTGGAACAAAACAAGCAGCCTGTCGGCTGAGATAGCTCCGCTGTTAGCAATGCACATTTCAATTAAAGAACTGAAGATATCATTAGAAAATGAACAATATGTATAGTATCAAAGCAAAGGACCTTGCTGTTTTCAACAAGAATTCAAAAATATCACTTTTCACCAAAAATGACAAAAATAATCATCAAAATTAAGTAATTGAAGATATCACCACGAAATTAACAAGGTCCACATGTAATACCTATATATGTAATATAAAAGCAATCAGACTTGCGGTTTTTAACAAGAAGTCGAAAATCTCACTTTTTACCAAAAATGACAAAAATATTCACCAAAATTAAAGATATCATTACAAAATGAACAAATCTGAGAGAGGTCCACATGTAGTACCTATGTATGTAATATCAAAGCAATTGGACTTGCGGTTTTTAACAAGAAGTCGAAAATATAACTTTTTACCAAAAATGACAAAAATATTCACCAAAATTAAAGATATCATTACAAAATGAACAAATCTGAGAGAGGTCCACATGTAGTTCCTATGTATGTAATATAAAAGCAATTGGACTTGCGGTTTTCAACAAGAAGTTGAAAATATCACTTTTTACCAAAAATGACAAAAATATTCACCAAAATTAGAGAATTAAAGATATCATTACAAAATGAACAAATCTGAGACAGGTCCACTTGTAGTACCTATGTATGTAATATCAAAGCAATTGGACTTGCGGTTTTTAACAAGAAGTCGAAAATATAACTTTTTACTAAAAATGACAAAAATATTCACCAAAATTAGAGAATTAAAGATATCATTACAAAATGAACAAATCTGAGAGAGGTCTACCCAAGGTACATATACACCAAGTATCAAAGCATTCAGGCTTGTAGTTTTCAAGAAGAAGTCAAAAAAGTAAAACATTGACACGGACGACGGCGAACGACGCCGGACAATCACTCATATGATAAGCTCCGCTCGACAAAGTCGACAGCGGAGCTAAAAAGTGACATACATACATACATACATACAGACAGGGTAACTGCAAAGACTCCCTTTTGTGCTTCGCACACGGGAGTCAAAAAATGTATTCTCAACTGCCCTATATTAGCAGGTGATTCCCATTCATCAGTTGTGGTGGGGGCGACAAATGCACAATCCATTCAAATTGGAAATACCAAACTTGGGTCTTTCTCCGTTATGGTATAAAACACTGTGGTTCAATGCCAATGTGTGGCGTTCTCACAACAGGTTTTATGGAGGCAGACCACCTCTATATTTTATTTTTCAAGGGTCCAAGAAGGTATAATGTTATGAACTAAATGCAAGCATAGACCTTAGAAAGAGAGGGACAGGCAACTACAGTATTTTTTTGTGTTTTAATCTGGGTTATAATCCTCCAAATAATCTCGCAATCCTATTAATGAATAAACAACCATCTGTTTATTTGCACTGTCGGCAGCACTCATGAAATCGCGTGAAATGCGCAAGTTTCCCTGCGTGACTAACAAAGCGACAGCCATGAATATGCTAATTGTATGTTAATGAGTTTTCCACTTAGTATCACACGTTTTATTTTTGAGAAATCGGGCGAAAATACAGCGATCTAAAACAAACCGGGTCAGCCATTTCCGATGTAAGGTGCTGACTTTCACGGTTTCAAACAGTTTAGAAAATTCGTAATTTCGACTTTTGTACAGCAAGTCATCAAATTAAAATACCATAAGTACTTTGAAAATGGCACGACTCAAGTAAAAAACGCAATAATTTAAACAACAGATGTTTTATTTTTGAGAAATGGGGCGAAAATAAAGTGATCTAAATCTAATCTTGACAAGTGCTGGCTATTCAGACAGTTCGGAAATTTCAGAATTATGACTTTAAAATATAGACTAGCAAAACTAAAATATGAGAGTATCCTTAAAAATAGTATGATTTAAGTGAAAAATATGATAATGCAAACAACAAATGTTTTTATTTTTCCCGAAAACGGGCGAAAATGTGGCAGTCGCAGGATAAGTAACTGTATTAGTCAACCATTTGTCACCGCACATAAAATCAGCCAAGTAGCTATACTGATGAAAAAAACGAATTATAACTCTACATATATTAAGTGTCATTTAATAACCAGCACAAAAAATGGATCTTATATTGAAATTAAAAATTCAAGGTAATGAGCACAAGCACTGAAAAACGTGTTGCAAACTGCACGGTCGATTGATTGTGAGTGACGTCATACGGCTTCCTTAACTTCAGCATTTGTTTATAACTGTAGTAACCCACGTTGCACGCCGGATGTCGTGAAATCCTTTGTTTTATAACCCAGTTCTAAGGTCTATGATGCAAGACAGTGGCACAAATGTAAAACCAATATTTACAATGAACAGCAACATTTACAATGAACTGGACATCTTGAAAAACAAAACAATGGCTAGATGTGTGAAGTGATTGACAGTACCAGTATTGTGATAATCATGTATTGTGGTTGTTGAAACATAGACTTATTTTCTAAGGTATATGGTTGAAACATCTTTCATCATCTCAGCTAAGAAATAAACTAGGGATATAATGTGCAGAAGATACAGCTGAATCCATTCTGTCTTTCTGATTATTTGTGAAAAGTTTATCAATGCAACACACGTTGTGGTTATCTATTTGAATTCACTGGTGACAGAAATTATTTAAATACAGAAAATAAATTTGAAATGAAGTCACATTGGAAGGATTGTAAATCAGATGAAGGTTTCATTCAACTGCAAATGAGGTGTCAAATAAAAATGAGACAAACTCGGACCTCTTGAAATACTTTGTTCATAGAGAAAGTACTTTAGTACCAAAGAACGCCTTCACGGCAACATAACGCACATTGTGACCTGTGTCCATGCAAGCTGTGTGACAGAGGATACTGATAAAGGTAACCAAGATGGCAGCCAAAGTGCATGATTTTCGTTGGCGTTTACAAACAACGCCTCATTGCCAATTTTGATGTAATTTCCAGGATAATTGCTTTATTTTTTATTTGTTGGTACGGCATATGTACTACCGTAATCACCTGCGAGAGGTTACTTGAAGAAGGAAATTGAAGGCATGATTACGGCCTGACTGCAATTATGCGGTAAATGTAAATTACGTAAACAATGAACGCACTGTAGGCCGAACGCGAAATTACCCATTTTGTCACAGCCATTTCGTGTTCACCTCTCGTTTTGCGCAATTGACAATTATTTTTCAAGATTTTTTATCAGAATCACAACAGACTACAAGGAATTCAACTGTTAATACAACGAACAAAAAATAGTTTTTTTTCTTTTTTATTATAAGTATCCAAAAAGATTCCCTAGGTGTATGTCTGGATATGACCTCAATCTCATTATTGTATCAAAATTGGGGGTGGGCATTTGCCTGGGCATGGGCTTTTACCCAGATAGATACGGTACAAGTTTTTAGCCTGTTTTTTTTTCAGCAATTAAAAATAGTTAAATTTAAAGGGTTTGGAGAAAAAGTAAAAAGTCGCTCGTGAATAAACTCTTCAATCACAGTTGTATTACAATGAGGAAAAATAAACTACATGCTGGTTGTCTGTTTATAACAGGGCTTTCTGTATTTACTGTAGAATCAGCTGGTTGACAACTTGACCGAAAAATTCTGCCCATTTATGGCTATATATAAAGCAAGTCTTCGAAGAATTGAGACAGCAAGTTAGCAAACTTGCTCACTAATTTGCCAACTAAAGCAAATGACTTACAATTTGAATGTAATCGCTCATTCTGTCACTATCAAATGCTAGCAATCTCTTTAAAAACAAGCAGCCTGACGGCTGAGATAGCTCCGCTGTTAGCAATGCACATTTCAATGAAAGAACAGAAGATATCATTAGAAAATGAACAATATGTATAGTATCAAAGCAATGGGACTTGCTGTTTTCAACAAGAATTTAAAAATATCACTTTCCACCAAAAATGACAAAAACTTTCATCAAAATTACATAATTGAAGATATCACCACAAAATTATCAAATCTGAAAGTCGTCCACATGTAGGACCTATATATGTAATATAAAAACAATCAGACTTGCGATTTTCAACAAGAAGTCGAAAATATCACTTTTTACCAAAAATGACAAAAATATTCATCAAAATTAGAGAATTGAAGATATCATCATGAAATGAACAAATCTCAGAGTGGTCCACATGTAGTACCTATATATGTAATATCAAAGCAATTGGACTTGTAGTTTTTAATAAGAAGTCGAAAATATCACTTTTTACCAAAAATGACAAAAATATTCACCAAAATTAGAGAATTTAAGATATCATTACAAAATGAACAAATCTGAGAGAGGTCCACATGTAGTACCTATATATGTAATATCAAAGCAATCAGACTTTTGGTTTTTAACAAGAAGTCGAAAATATCACTTTTTACCAAAAATGACAAAAATATTCACCAAAATTAGAGAATTGAAGATATCATTAGAAAATGAACAAATCTGAGAGAGGTCCACATGTAGTACCTATATGTATAATATCAAAGAAATTGGACTTGCAGTTTTCAACAAGAAGTCGAAAATATCACTTTTTACCAAAAATGACAAAAATATTCACCAAAATTAGAGAATTGAATATATCATTATGAAATGAACAAATCTGAGAGAGTTCCACATGTAGTACCTATATATGTAATATCAAAGCAATTGGACTTGCGGTTTTCAACAAGAAGTCGAAAATATCACTTTTTACCAAAAATGATAAAAATATTCACCAAAATTAGAGAATTAAACATATCATTACAAAATGAACAAATCTGAGAGAGGTCCACATGTAGTACCTATATATGTAATATCAAAGCAATTGCACTTGCGGTTTTTAACAAGAAGTCGAAAATATCACTTTTTACCAAAAATGACAAAAATATTGACCAAAATTAGAGAATTGAAGATATCATCATGAAATGAACATATCTGAGACAGGTCTACCCAAGGTACATATACACCAAGTATCAAAGCATTCAGGCTTGTAGTTTTCAAGAAGAAGTCGAAAAAGTAAAACATTGACACGGACGACGGACAATCACTCATATGATAAGCTCTGCTCGACAAAGTCGACAGCGGAGCTAAAAAGTAAAACATTGACACGGACGACGACGGACACCAACGGACAATCACTCATATGATAAGCTCCGCTCGACAAAGTCGACAGCGGAGCTAAAAAACAGTATGAGGATTTACAAGACGGAAAAGTATGCAACTGTTTGCAATGGTCAAATCTGCTTGGTCAAAACCATCGTGGTCAACAAATTAGTAAACATGTCTTTGAACTCGCTGTCTCAAAGACTTGCTGCGGCATTCATGACTTTTACACAGATGACTCGCAAGACAATGACAACAGGAAATAACAGGGTTTCAGAAAAAATCCTCGCCACAGAGAATAATCACCAAAGGTGTTAACATATTCATGCATACTGTATTATTTAAACAATCTGGAGACGTCTCCATGGAGTTAGTGATACTCTGCGTATCCTTATGAATTGCAGGAGAGAATACTTTTTTTCACAGTTTTAGTAATTTTGACAAGGTGCAGCAACTATCTATTTTAACATTTTCCTGTATTTCAAAAATGGTATGCTAAGTCAAGTCTTTGTATGAGATAATAGACAAAGAATTTATCTGTGAATGTTATACGTTTCTCACTATCAAAACAACTACATTGATTAGTTTCAACTAAAGGACATATTTTCAGATGAAACTGAAAATCATAAAATCAATACGTTTTATGTTAATGGGGTTGGATCGCATACACTGGAGTTTATGTTGGTATTTGATATTTATGCGACATTGCATCGATAATACCACGAATAAACAGCAGGAATTCAACTGTGACATTGTATATACACACTTCCCATGAATGAATGATGCTTTTGGACAGACCAAAGAACACCCTGGGCCCCCTTGCGTGATAGCAGTCTACAGTATAACAATTAACGAAGAGCCGATTACATCTGGAAAACATATTATTATCGACATGCAGGATCAATAGTAAGCGTATTACACTTTTGCACTACAGCACACTCATAACCTTCTCTGCGTAGATCGCATTTCCAGGAAGAAAGCCCCCTCATTAAGTATAATGTTCTAATGGCGTGGTGATCGAACCACATGTCAGAGAGAAAGACTGAAGCCAGTGACTAACTACTCGACGGAACTCCTCGGCAGTCTGAAATTGCCTTCGACGCCTGAACGGCATGGAAAATATCTTGAAATACTCTTAGTTAAAGCAAGCAAACACGTTTCATTGTTACCTGGCCCATGACTTTCAACTTGATGTATTCACTAGTCGATGTTGAACCGCCACCGCTACCGCTTTCAGCACTTCCTTCGGCTTTTTGTTCCTAAAAAAACATAAGTTGAAAATGCAAATTAAGATGGAACACTCCATACCAATATTCTACGTCTCGATTAGTAACAAAACTCTAATATTTAAGATTTTAGAGCGCTTTCTTTCGAATTTCTGGTTTCACCTGGTCAGACATGTTGTTTTCTGTGTTGCACACTGGATTGAGAGAGAACAAGATGGCGGCAAAACACCGGAAGTTATGGAACAACAAAAGAAACTATTACCGTGTGCGGGCGCACTTTTAAGTCGCGGAACTTCAATTAGTAATTGTCTTTTTATAGTCCTTGGCACTGACAGTCCCTCTATAGATTGTGGCCTTTGATAACAGCTGAGCGGGGATTCTACTTATCATCAACGCACGCACTATATAAACAACAAATTATTATTATTATTAAAAGTTAAATACAAAAAAAAAAAAAAAATGGTAAGAGAAAACTGAGGGAAAAATGTGGGGGGAACCAAAAAACTCACTTCCCCAGTCTGACCGCAAAACAGAAACATGTGCTAGGAAATATGTCTCTAATTGATTTAATGGCAAAATGCACAATAGAAGTGATTGTCTGTACCATATGAAAAAATGTAGTTAGAATAAAATATATGAAATGAAAACATCATTTTAAAAATCAAATTGACTGATTGCTAACGGGGAATGGAAATAATGATTTACAAAGCAAAAAAACAAAACAAATATTTTAAGCATGTATCGGCTGCCAATGTTTAATTTGAAACAAAAAAAGTCTACACACCAGGGTTATTTAAAAGTCTGAAACAACGTGGTAACCGAGACAACGAACATTCAGCCAAGTCAGTATGAACGTTACGCAAAACATGACTGTGTTTTTGACGTACATGTATATTGTGACAGTATTATCGCATTCGAATATATTATCAGACAGTACGCGGTCGTATCGACCTCCGGTGCGCGTCGGTCGATACTTTGCTGCATTGTCTTCGTGCATACTTTGCAGTATCCTCGCAATAAATTCATATTATTTTGATGTGTCCGAAACCGTTTCTCGGATATAACCAAACGATTATACCAATTTTATTCTTTCAAACGTTCTTTTGACGTGCATACGTATACACCACAGTCACTCTACTAGTAGATTGACTGTGCATACACCAAGAATGACTTTTTAAGTAGGTGTCCAGTCGCTATTTGACGATGAATGTTTCTATGTTCCGGATACGTTGTGTTTGTAGAGTAACCCTGAACTTGAAGAAGAAGTTGACTTTAAAGGTGTATTTATTGGTAAGAATTCAAACAATTAGGTCAATGACGTTTAGGTGGAACATAAATATTCCCTATTTTCGTTGAAATTTTTGGATTGATACCAGAATGACAATAGACATCTACCCCACGCGAGTGTTACCGTCTGGTAGGGATGGCAGATTACAAAACAAAACAAAATATTGCAAAATGCGAATAACAACAATTTTTTAACTCAGGCAAATGATATTCCCCTATCACCAACAATAGACGTTTTTAGTGAGTTTTTGTTATTTCTGGCTTGAAGTCTAATTAATCAGTATCATGACAGATTTAAGTTTTTCCAGATTGGCGTCTCGGCCTCCAGGGTAGATTGACGGCATGGTGGACATACGCCGAGTTACATATTATAATGACTTAACTAATTTAATTACATATCCTTTTAGTTACCTTATTAAGAAAGTTGGGAAGAGATTGCAATCATGGTTGGGCGGGGTCTTACGAGTATGGCAAAGTAACAATTATTAAATGATCCGATTGTGGGAAGGTAAAAAAAAAAGCGTAGTGGCATTCACAGACGAGGCATGCTTGGTGAGACCACTCGGGGACTCGGGAGAGTGGGTTTATTGCAAATGGCAGGTTGAGACGTACTTTTTCCAGAATTTTTTTGTTTTGTTTTTACTGCTTCCTTTCAAATTTTCGTGTTTTTTTGTAGTAATCTATGATTTGACTCCAAGTTAATGAACACAAATGTATGACATACATATATTGCACTGTTTTGCGATATAATCCAATTAACAGTCGTTTTGGGGAAAGGTTTAACAATTTTAAGATATCTTGCATGATTTCGTTCAAACTCATTATAATCCCGACGAATTTGTTAATGTTTATTTCTCTGTCAGTGTAACATACTCTGATTGTAAATCAATTGGCTACACAACAAGATTAGGTCACTGAGCAAGTTTGTCTATCTATTTATTATCTGGGTGTTATTTTAGTTAACACTCCTGGGAATTGTGAACCAAATGATACGCACAGTTACAAAAATCACTGCAACAATACGGTCATTGACCACAATAATTCATGGTCCGGATCCAAACTACGTTGTGAACGATAACCACAACACACCCTTTACATGCACTCGGGGTGTGGCTTTTTCGCAATACAGTGGAATGAGATCGAACCACTTGAGGTAATCATAATAATTTACAGCGCCCCCACAGGCGTGGATTAGAAATAACACTGACTTGTTGTTTAGATTCGTTGAATTAGGGCAGCGTTTGTGTAATTTTAGCACTCTCAATATTTCACGGAGACATATTTCGTAATTAAATATTCAGCTTCTGATCGATTATGTATGTAAAATGGCACACGATTGTACCTGTCGCTACTGCCATATTGCGAGTTCAGAACAAGTTGCGTGGTCTGAGCATGTTCAGGTCGTGATAGTTAGGTGGCGTGATATCGTCTGATGTATATCAGGTCATTCATTGACTACCTATACAGTCGATTGAGGTACTGCAGGTGCTGTATATTTAAACGATCGCCTCAATTCTACGCTCGTCCACCAAGGTTCATACTGGTAAGTTAGCCTCCTGAAGCGACTACATATAAATGTTTTTGAATGCAATAGGTTTGGTTGTATTTGCACATGCCTACCAAGTCAGTGCCACGTCTGCAGAAACACGCAAATAAACTGTCAATGTCAGTCCTGTACACATCTTGTCATACGATGTTTCAAAATGAATGGATTCACGTTCATAATTACAGTTACGCTGGTGACATGTATAGTTCAAGGTTTCTGTTGCATATCTGACGAGACGTCGCGTGATAATATTGTTTGCGTTGAATCATTCGCTCGGGCCCTGGATTATTGTATAAATCCCAGATAATTATGTTTGTTTATTTCACTGATTGTAAAATGTACATATTTATTTATATTTAAATGTATTTATATTGTACAACCTTAGTTTATTCATTTATAGACCTAGTTGGCAAAACTGTGTAATTCAAATTTATATAATATTGGGAATTATTAACAACTTTTTTTTTTACAGGAAGTTATATTTGATTTTTTATTAATAATATTTGGTATACATGTGAGTGTGGCTGAAACTTTTATAAAGTTTTTTTTTAGGTTGGGCTTCAGGAAATATATTTACTTAATTTTTAGGCCGATTATATGGGGGGGGGGGGCAAAACATTTGCTTACTGGTTTTAGTTAATTGTCTTTTTCTATCTGTTTCATACATGTCATAACTAATTAGCCAAACCAATCCGTTTGACATCTAATTTTATAACCAGTCAATGACATGTGTGATTTATTGTAAACAAAATGCATGATGTACTTGTCAAATTCAGATAGTGCATCTAGTTTTTGATTTAGACAGGTAAGGTTACACATATATGGTTAAAACGAAACAAATATTTTTTTTCATAACCTAGTGGGGCCACTACTTATAAAGTGTTTTTTTTATTCTTTGTTGTAAAACATATAATCTTGTATTTGATTATGCTTTAATTGAAAACATTTTTCTGAAGACCTAGCAAAAGTTACACCATATCTACATTTTAAATTCCATTGTGAAGTTGTACTTTTATTTGCAAAACTATTTTTTCCAGTCTTATCATATATCACATTTCGATCATAAAATATATTCTATTAAAATGACTAATTGCCTAACAACGTGGATTTGTGAAATAAAGTGATGATTGATATACATAGCAGCAGTCGAAATGTTTCCAAATAGAAATCTAGAGAATTGATTTTATTAATTCATCAAATTCATCAGTTATTTTTCACACAGCAGCTGTGTGAATCAGGATTTATTCAATCCGTGGATTATTTAAAAAAAAAAAATGAACATTTTTTTCTATTTGGGGCATATGTAATCTAAATTCAGCTCACATACCGACAACTATTATTTGTTGATGTTACAGATTACTTAATGACACTTGCTTTTTAAATAAAAAAGCATGTTATGAACGTTGCATCCCAGGATGTGTGGGTGTGCGGGTACGGGTGTGCGGGGGTGTTTATAAGAAGATAAGTACAGTATATGATGTTTTAACAACAGCTGATAAGTTGAGTTGTCATGGAAACCAAATACTTGCTGTATGTATTTGTTCCATTAAAGTCACGCGTTTATGTCATTAACCTGTCTAATCTGTTGGTACCTTTAAGGACTTGCTAGATAAGGTATTCAGTGGGAACCGTTCTAAAATGTCTTAGCACTCTGCTATATGCCATTGCCAGTGAAGTTTAGTTGGCTCATCAAATGTCACACGGAATATCAAACTTATATACATGTACCTTTATCTTATAAATGCCTGGTACTGTACAGCTGAATAATTAATCTTTAGTTAACTTATCAATTTCTGTTGGATGCTTCCCTAATTGGACAACACTACAACACTGATAATATAACTGCATTTCAGTCAGTTTTCCCAAGATAGTATTTTAGGTTAATTTCAGATTCACGTTTGTTTTTATTCAGATAATTCAGAATGTCTGCTAAGGCAATACGGGAAGCCACTGGTAAGGGATTGCTAAATAAGTATTTAGGATATGAAGATGCCGCTACTACTAAATTTGCTGTATTGACAGAGGACACTGACTGGAATCAGTTAACTCAAGAACATCCATGGTTATTAACGGAGGTAATCTTTTTAGCTGCCGTATTTATAAGAACGTTGTGTGTATAATTAGCCGCTTTTGAAGTGATACAGTTGTGTATGTGCATGCTGACTGAATGCCGAACCTCATATTTGTGTACAAGACTGTATGAAATCAAAATTATCTGAATTTCTATTTGAAAGCTGGATAAATTTACTATACTTTATTTGTTACTGTATTACTTTGTTTCAGGTTAATTTTATATATTGTTGCAATTTATGATAAATTTGTATATAATAAAAAAAAGACAACAAAAACAGTACATTATAATGTTTCCTGTGATGATCCTTTATTATTCCGGATATCACGTTTGACAGATGTTACCACTACAGTGGTGTCAGTGAATAGTTCATAGCGTTAGGAAACAGCTGATTCCATGATAATACCCAAAATTATTGTGTCGTGTCAATTGTGGCAAATATTATGGTTACTGATAGAATTACTTTACAAATATACCATAGAATTCACTGGCTAATATGGATGTGCAGGCTGTACATAGATTAATTATGGAGTATTTTTTGTTTGACGTACAACTTGAAATTTGTGATTTTATCATAAAACTGCTTTTAAATTTCACGCAAGAGAAAATTTTGTGAATTTCACATGTCAGTGACGAATCATGAACTTTTGTAGCAGTGAACATTTCTGTGGGGTTCTAAAAAGCGCAGTGTCAGCGAATTTCGCAATATTTGTCTTCATAACTGCCGTAAAATTATTAAATCATGAACATTCCTAGATGCAAGAATTAAGTGGCTTACCTTTGACCCTGAATTCAATTTCTGTCACCTTTCACAAAATAAACCCTGCAAATTTTTTTCCATAATTTAAACAAATTATTGATCAAAATTTTAATTAATGACTACTTGATCTACCAGTACAATTAAGAAAAAAATGTGCAAATTTCGGTGATAAAAATTAATTTTACATAAAATTTGTAAGTGGTACAGCATCTGATGACCAAGTCATGTCAAAATAAAAGCAATAAAAAATGGCTGGCTGTTATTGCTTTTACAATGCCAGTTTTTGGATAATAATTAAAAATTTAATAACCTTTTTCACTGCTCCAAAATTAAAAATTTATATTTGTGTGCAAAATTCATGAAATTTACAGTTCGGAGCTGAGGTTATCGACAATATTATAGGTTATCAATAATATCTGTATTACTGATGGATCAATTTATTTAGAAGGGGAGAGGTTATTGGGGAGGGAATGAGTTATATCCAATATGGATAATTAATTCTAGAAATGTATTAGATTCTTATTGATTTTATGAAAAATTCACCTTAATATTGAATATATATAAATTCTCTATCATATATTTTAAGAAGCGCTTTTCCGTTATTGTTGCGTGTTCAAATATTAGGTAAACAAACAAAAGTACTTTACAAGCATTAAATGGGACCAATATCGAAGACTAGATTCTGAGAAAATGAACAACTGTGAGTGTGATTGCAAATGACAGCCAATAATTCATGTCGTGTAGCATAACCGTTTAATCAGTACCAGCTATACTAAACTAACAGTTTCATTTAATTATGTACAGTAGATAAAACCAATTCAGCTCATTGGGGCCACCTTGAGGAAGCCTTCTTATCGCATACACTGATTTGTTTCCCAGAATATATCATTCAAAAAAAACAATTTATTTTATTATCCTTTGTGTGTATCTTTATTTTATGCAAATTATCTTAAAATTTAGTAATATTTCATGTACAAATTGTATTAAAAAATTTTCTATTTTATTTCCACTATTTAATTTAAAATGTACGATTTTCTTTTTGATTTACTGTGCTACAAAAATTAAATTAAGTTCATCTAGTGACAGGGATATCAACTTCATTTGATGTATCATTGACGTACCCATTCCATTGACAGCATAATAACGTTTATGTACTCAAACTCCGCAGTCATGACAAAACTTAAGAGATATCACAGACTGGGGGGGGGGGGGGGGTATAGAATACACTTACTTGTTCAACAGTGCGTAGATTATTGAATACAGTTATATAATATTGATTGATGTGTTACTGTGAATAAAAATGCATGCTGGGAGGATATTGACACTAAGTGGTTCGTCAAGAGTGGCTTTTGTTAATTGAATTGTTGGATAAAAAGCAGGAAGCAATCAGTTTGTTTGAGTGTCAGGAAGGATAATTGATTCTAACGAGGATTCCAATACACAAACTAATTTATACTGACGTAGATTGCATTACAGCCATTACATTTTTCAAATTCAAATATATTTTGCATAAATACAGTCATAAAATAAAACAATTATAGTGACTTTTTATCACCAAATATATGTTGTCATTGATGTTATTTGAAATTTCTGATGCATTTTGAACTTTAAATTTATTTTATTTTTTTTAGACCTAGTATCAGAATTTGAAATCACATGCTTGTGTCATGTTTTCCTTGAAGTAATTAATTAGTATGCTAATTATGTAGCTAACAAAAAAAATATATATAGAAAATACAAAATTTGGGCATTTTTGATGTAATTTTAAATGTCTGCAGATGTGGGTTACACATGTATGTGATTTATTTTTGATGACAATATTTCATTGAGAGTACATCAAAATGTTTCACTTCCCAGGGATCAAAATTTCTTGAGACCCTAGAGCAATTGCTAAGATCCCCCTTCAAAATAATTAAATATTTCCTTCACAATTCCAGTTTATTTCTATGGCATTTTGTTGAATTCTCAAAATTCCTGCTCACAAAATGATACCAGTGTCGTTACACGCTATTGTATTAACAATTCGTACAATTTTAATATTGTATCTATTATTTCTCAAGCAACCAAATACACATAAAACATTATCTACTTCTAAGAAATTAGTACGTATAATTTTAAAATTAAAAAAATTGTTTATGATTAAAAATAATTTTAAAAACTTGCATATTATATAAAAAATATTTTCATTTTATTGTGAGTGTTAGTTTTAGGTTACCGGTAATGTGATGTTAAATTAAAGAAAACATTGATACATTTGTGTAGTTCTGTGGCAATTCCCGGAAGACACTTAGCTAATGGAATTACGGGCGTTTAACATCCAGAACTCTGAGATAAAATGAATCTGAAGATAGATCAGAGTGTGTCTTCAAAATTTACATAATGAGATGTACATATATAATTAGCTAATTTGACTTTCAAGGGAAAACTGTCCTGGTAACCCTTCTTTATTGCTGTGATGGTAGACGTGAATTTAATTGCTAAGTCTCTGAGATGTGGATAGTCAGTTTACCTCATAGCAATGCAAATGTACAATATAACTGCTTTAATTTCGGAACAGACGAATTTTCACTAATTTCGCAAGTCAGTAAAAATCATGAAAATTTGTAGCAATGAAAATTACGACATTACATAACAGCTACTTTCGCAAAACTTTGTTTTCAAAAATACCATAAAATGCTGAAATTGAGAAGATTTTTAGCATTGAAAATTAAACATTTTACAATATCACAAACTATGGACTCATCAGATCTGACCATACTGTATATTATTGAATACATTACATTATTGAGTTCATTAATTAGTTCCTATTTAATTAAATGCTATTCGTAAAAAACTCTCCATCATCACTCTATTCTGAGATGTTAAGAAGTATTTTTTCTGATGACATTTCAATCAACCGGTCAAGTAACATCTCTTATCTGACTTTGATCTTGATCAGATTCATTGGCCATCAATGCTATAAATTCTGTACTTCTTGTAGACCTTGCAAAGTGCAATGGTTACCATGGTAGCCTAGTGGTAAAATACAACATACATGTAGATTAAGTTAATGCACTATACCCTTGCACAGTTTAGATATGCACCATAGATAGGAACATGCACTATAGTTGTGTTACACGATGTGACTAATGTGAGGGGAAAGAGGAGGGCACGTACAGTTTTTCCTTTCCTTCGAAACCAAACCTGTAAATGTATATCTAACTTCAGACAAAATATGCCCAGCCCTGTGCATGGCTGACACATGATGACGGTTTTAAAATAAAAATGTAAACATTTGTACTAATGTTTACATCACACAATACTTGGTGTTGAATCAATCATAATATTATTACTTTACACTCATTGTAACCACCAACTGTGACCACACCAAGTGATCGTTTTATTCCACTCAGGTTAAATTTGTGAAATTTATAAATATTAATACAAAATTCAATGGATTAGGTTTGTGCTTGTGATAGTATAATAAAGTGTTTTTATTTTTTATAAGTCTTTTTTTGGCAATAATTCATCTGTGTATAATTAGGACGTTTTTTTTTGGGGGGGGGTGAACTTTGACCTCTTGACCGTTTTCATAAGTCTACCACTCTAACTAGTTGAAGTAAAGCAATAAAATTCTATCTTAACTAAGGAGCTATGATCTAAAATTGCCTTAAAAGAACTACACAAATGAACTGCCTTTGATGTAGGGGAATTAGGGTGAGAATACCTGGGAGTTGATGCCTCATGGAATCATGAGATACTGTTCTTCATGTTGACTGTCTCTTGCTGATTTCTCGCATTCTGTATTTTTTTTCTTCAGAAATTGGTAGTTAAACCTGATCAGTTGATTAAAAGGCGAGGTAAGCTAGGTTTGATTGAAGTCAACACTGATCTGAATGGTGTGAAGGAATGGGTGTCTACCAGACTTGGAAGCGAAATTCAGGTACGTAAACGATGCAACCATATAATGCTACATTTTTCAAAGGCAAACTGATCATAAAAAAAAGGAGACTTGTATATTCAGAATAGCTGCATGTAATATTACACTAAGATATCACAGCAAAGATTGTTGTTAACAATACTACAATTGGCTCTAATTGGCTGATACAGTCTGTGAGGTATTGGCCAAAATAAAAATGAATTTGATTACAAAAATTCCGGTGAAGTGAAAAAAAATGGCTTTGTGCTTTAACTAGTTCTTTTCAAATTTACAGTTTAATACATTTTGTCTGACACTTTTTATGAAACTGAATGAGTAGTATAAACTAGATTTATTTTTTAACTTGATTTGATGTTGTTAGAATAATAGGTATATTCCTTCCCTCATTGTTGAAATAAACAATGTGTTTCAAGTTATCCATTCCCATATCTCGATTTTATTAGATTGGAGCAGCGTCTGGTTTATTGAAGACGTTTATCATTGAGCCGTTCGTAGCTCACAAACCAGAGGATGAAATGTATGTGTGTATTTATTCGTCACGTAATTCGGACACCATTCTGTTCTACCATGAAGGCGGCGTGGATATTGGCGATGTAGATACAAAGGTATGTAATTTACTCTTCTTTTCTGTAAATGCTACTGTTTTGTATATATGTGCACAGCACTCACAAATTGGAGATCCTGCGTTGTAGGTACACTGTTCCATAATATGGAAGTTTATGAAACAAGCCGGTAGGCTGGTTGGCGATCCGCTCCGCTCAAAACCAAGCACCATGTTTTTGGCTGTTTCCATGGTGTGACATAAACGCAAAGCTAACGTCGGTTTATAACTAATACGAAGTTCGCAAACACCATTCAGTTTTTGGAAGTCACTTAGTTTATTACAAGGACCACAATCACTCTCCTAGTCGAGTGACTGTGCTAGGACGTATTCTGCTGTTACATTTATTATTTCCAACCGTTTTGCGATAGCATTTTCTAGAATGAAGCGTTTCCTGTAAATGCTGGAAAGCGAAATAATAAAATAACGAGATGGTAAACAAGCCGGTCAAAAACAAGCAACATGTTTTTTGGCTGTTTCCATGGTGACATAAACGTGAAGCTGACGTCGGTTTATAACTAATACGAAGTTCGCAAACACCATTCAGTCTTTAGAAGTCACTTAGTTTAGTACTAGGACCACAGTTACTCTCTCCTAGTAGAGTGACTGTGCTAGGATGTATTCTGCTGTTACATTTATTATTTCCAACCGTTTTGCGATAGCATTTTTTAGAATGAAGCGTTTCCCGGAAATGCTGGAAAGCGAAATAATGAAATAACGAAATGGTAAATATTTACCTAAATTGCAGGGTGTGTTGACCTTCATAACAATATACTTCATAAATGCAAACACTA